ATATGACAAAGTTCGTATATAATGTTAAGGTGCAATTACTAATATTACATTGTAATGGCGGTCGTATTACTTTTTGCGAGTAATCCTTCAGTATAATATTTGCGTCATTATATAATTTGTATAAGAAATGATAATTCGTAGTATAAATAAATATTTATGTAATGGAGTAGTATCTTTGTGAAAAAGAGATAATGCTAATATACCGACAAGTTTAACACAACCGATAGCTCGACTTCCGTTGTCGTTCAAGGAAATGTCAGATCTATCTTCACGTCCTCCTTCTTGTCGATCGTTTTCAAGATCTCACATTGTTGAGTTGCTGATTGATGACTACCTTCGATTCGACGAGGGCTTGCAAGAGAGATTCCCTACTGAATGATAGAAGGAAGAGAAAAGGGAAATATCGATTAATCGACTACGTCTGAAAGCCGATTTGATACGATGGAGTACATTGACATAATAAATTATTTCTAACTTCATTATATTGTTGAAACGATAAAATATTAATAAAAAGAATCCATGCGAAAAAAATCGGAATGAGTTCAACATTATATTTTCATAAAAACCTGCGAGGTATTTTCAAACAATTCAAAATTTTCTTTTTTTGATTATATTATGCTTATATCGCGACAATTTAATTATAGATATATTATATTAACTTCAGAAAAGTATATTTACGTGCAAACCTGAGAAATTTATCAGCTAGTTTAAAATATTCTCTAGATTATATTATATCCATCGATAATTTAATTCTAGGATATTAAACTTAGAAAGAATATATCCATATATATTTTATGATTATTAAATATTTAATTATAAAATCATATTATCAATAGAACCTGACATAAAGATTTAAAAAATTTGTAAAAAAATATCTACAGGGTAATTCAGAACGATCCCATGTCCTTGCGAAAACGTGTTCCTGACTGAATTCTGAGACGATTTTTCCTATACAAAAATTTTATCCGACGCTTACTTTTTGAATTATTAGAAGATAAAGTTAGCGAATTACGAGCCGCGTACAGAAGGTAAGCAGGGACGATGTACCGTCCGATGCGGGAAGACCTCGTTTGCCTACAATCCCGATTGCACACAACACTCACATTGGCCGGTGCCTAGCAACTTTTCTCTGCTTTACCAATGAGGTTATATTATTTTTAAATTGGCCAATAAGCGAGCAATGTGTGCAATTGGGATTGTAGATAATGGGAACCTTCCCTCCAACGCGAGCAAAAACGAGAGACACTCGTTGCGATCAAGAATATAGAGTTATTCTTTAATATAATTTTTTTTAATTTGGTTTTACACACACAACACACATACATACTCTCTCTCTCTCTCGCGCGCGCGCGCTTACCTTGCAGAGATTAGTTGTCTTTATACTGTTTTAACTTGACAAATAATTTTCACAATCGGAAGAACTGAAAAAGCAATACGAATACATTTCACGTTCCCTTGTGACGTCAAGTAATAAAACAGGAATTCATTTTTCTTTCAAAAATAATATCTGAAACATTTCATTATAGTTGTAACACTTTCACTGATTTACTAACGCATTTAATCGACTTGTCGACACCACATAGAACGATTCACAAACGATTCTATCAATTTATCATTATTAACCAATAAAGGATACTGTAGATATAATTAAAACCTCACATAAAATCCCAAATAACATCATCCCTTTAATAGCGCACTGCCTAACAACCACATATTTCTCCTATAATAATCAATTCTACGAACAGCTAGACGTCTGGAGCGGCCATGGCTTCTCCCATTTCTCCCGTAGTGGCAAACATCTTCACGGAACACTTCACGAAGAAGAGGCTCTCCACAAGGCGATCAACGAATCAGAAATTTGGTTCCGATATGTAGACGATACATTTGTAATTTGGAGACACGGCAAAGATAAACTCTACAAATTCTTAAACTTTCTCAATAACATTCCAACATCCGATTCACCAATGAAATGGAAGAGAATAGTCAACTTTCCTTTCTCGACATTCTTGTCACAAAGAAGGCGGACAACACATTGGGTCATCAGATATACAAGAAGCCGACGCACACGGACAGACACTTACATGCGGAGTCATATCATCACCCAGCTCAAAAACAGTCAGCGATACACTCACTTGTACAAATAGAGCGTTGAGTATCTCTGATAAAGAACATCTACAAATGGAACTCAACCACTTGAAGAAAACTTTATATTGGAACGGATACAACAAGAAAGATGTGAATAAGACAACCAACAAACACAAGAATGGGACAAAGAAATCAGACACACAGCAGCCACAGGAAAAGAAAAGAAGTCTCTCGTTTCTCCCGTATATAAAGGGAACAAATCAAATCGGCAGGATTTTAAATAAACACAACATCCGAACTATTTTCAAGCCTCCAAGGAAGATCGAACAAATCTTAGGAAATCCCAAGGATCAGAGACCTCCACTCAGTACTGTAGGAGTGTACAAAATACCCTGCTTCTGCGAGAAAGTGTACATTGGTAACACCGGAAGAATGGTTAATACACGGATGAAAGAACATCAACGGGATGTTAGATTAAAACACGTCACACAATTTGCCCTGGCAGAACACAGCATTGAGACAAGACATCAAATACTATTGTACAAAACGGCAACCATAGCTACAACATCATATTTCCCGAGGAAGCATAGAGACGCCCTAGAAATACAGAAACATCCAGATAATTTAAACAGAGACTCAGGTTATAATGTAAACAGGATATGGAAGACTGACCTCTCGACAGGTCAAGGAAGTACTCTTCCTCCAGTCTTAATTCTTTACCCCTCCCTCTCCTTTTCAAGCGTCTGCATAAAGGGAATTCCCCGATTCCCGGGGTAACAGCTCAGTATCAGTGCACCCATCGCCCTGATGAAATGAACGGCATGGTTCACGAAACGTCGGCATTAAGAAGAAAGACACGGCGATAACCCGCAAACCTTCTGGTATAATTGAAAATAATACCCATGAAAGCCTCAAATGTGCTTTAAATGCGTTTTTCTCGAAATTACTTTTTTCAAGCTGGCCGGAAATATAACTCCTACAAATCTTGACCGATTTACTTAAAATTTTAACTGTAGCGTCAAAATTGCATTCTCTAGAGAAAGACGTACGAATTTTTTTATGTTGCATATTTTTTTTATATAAACAATTTTTTAATGTATTTTTTATCCTTGACATTTACTTCAAATTCGTAGCATTTTTTTCAAAAAATGGTATATTGTAATTTTGGTATGTCTTTCTCTAGCTTTTGGAATGTAGATTTAAAAATTTTTTTATTTTTTGTTCCAATTGTAAGTTAAAAATTGCCGGAGTTATCGTTCCTCAGAGCATTGTCCATGAGAAGACGTTACCATTGCAGAGCTGTAGCACCGCCATTTTATAACAAAATCACTGTAAAAAAAATATTTGTTTTCACTTTTATGTAGGTATGTATAACAAAGACCTAAAATATATTTTTTTACTTCTTTCGCGTTACAATAAATAAAATTTTCTTTCATTACATTCCCAAACAAAATTCATAAAGTTAAGTTTATTTTTCGTGCTATAAAAATAGCTTTACCCCTTAACGAAACATAACGCGGAAAAGCTTGTGCGGTAAGCCTTTAGACCCATCGGCCTATATGGCCCTATCTGAACCAGCGTATCGAGTTTTTGTTGGTAGCTCGCCGTCCGGGCCGCTGAATCGCGAAAACAAAGAAATGCTTTAATTAAAATTGTTTATAATACTGAAACATAAAACGTCTTCTATAATACATATAATAAAAAAATGTTGACTCTTAAAAGCGTATTGATTAAAATTTTCATTATCCTTTCATGCATTATAAACTTCAAAATTATACACTGATAACTAGTGTTGGCTCATATTGGCATTTTGTTTGTTTCTTTTGATTTAAATTTATTAATTTAAAAAAAAATTGATTTTATATTTTTAAATTTAATTAATTATTTTTAACTTTTAATATTTTTATAATATTTTTAATCCATTTTTTTAATTTACAATATAACTAATACGAATCGAAGGCTATAACAGTCTAGCTAGATCTTAGTATGTATACTGAATCTTGCTTATATACAGGGTGGTGTGTCATTACCGATTAAATTACCTATCAAAAGCAGATAGTGTAGACCGAACTGATTCGAAACGTCTTATACCATTTTACGGTTTACGAAATATTTAACGAGATATTATACCTTAAAGATAGTAAAAAATAAACGCGTTCTTCCGGCCTACATACTGTCAATAAGCGTGTACGCCCCTCAAACGCTTTCTACGCGCGCGGATCGCAAGGCATGAGGATAGCGTGTCGTCCGAGTTTAAGTCCATGGCACATTGAAAAACGTAAGGCCGTAAACGTAATCAGTAAGCGAATTGACCAATCACAGTTGAGAACGTAAGCAGCCGCCGCTCACGTTTTCAATTGTGATTGGTCAATTCGCTTACTGATTACGTTTACGGCCTTACGTTTTTCTATGTGTAGAGGCTCGCAGCGGTGTGCGCGGCGCGAGGCGTTTCCCACTCTCCGCGCGCCAAGCTAACGATGGCGGATATTCAGTAGTAGTAGGCCGGACGAACGCGTTTATTCGGTTATCTTTAAGGTTTAATATCTCGTTAAATATTGCGTAAACTGCAAAATGGTATAAGACTTTCGACTTAATTCGATCTACTCTACCTGCTCTAGATAGGTGATTTAATCGGTTAATGACACCCTGTATACGATATAGTAAAAAATCATATTGAATTTTCCATAACAAGCTTTTGTGCTTATTTTGAGAAAATGCAGGACTTTAGAAATACAATGAAAGTTGTTTGTATAATATAAATATATACATAATATATTTCTGTCCTGCTCCATAAAATTTAGCTGATAATTTGCATACTTTTACACAGGCAGAAAATAAAATAATTTACGTGTGCATCTTGAAATTAAAGTCTCAAAATTTTGAATTAAATTTTTACAAAGAATGTAAAGACTTACCTCAGTTTGCGTCTCCATGATTGACGTTATTAACAGGCTACAAGAATGAAATACGTCAATGTCCGAATCACATCGGATCTGAAACAGAAACACATTTTCTGAATGTATCGATGCGTTTGTTACAATTATGAATAAACTGTATTCACCAATACTGGAAAAAAAAACATATATATATATATATAATAATTTATATAGTTACTATTTTATTTTAGCAACCCTATTTTTAGATATTACATAATTGTACTATTGTGCAACCATTAAATTTTAAACACTTTAACGCTTAATATCTCGGAAACTATAACAGATCGTCATCCTAGTTGTTAAGGCAAAGTTACTCAGAATCATGACCTTGACAACACATGTTAAGGTCAAGGTCATCGGCGCGGTGTCGGTGTCCGTTAATGTGCATAATTACTATTTTATCTTTTAAATTTTTTATGTTTTAAAAAGTTATTCCTTATAACAATATTTTTTATTTCACTTTAAATTATACAAATGTAGGATATATAGTAATAAAAGTAACTTTATGCTAAGAGAGCGAAACACGTCCTAATGACACCAGGCTGAAGTGATAAATGTAGCGCGATATATACGATCTGCGGAGAAAGAGCGACCGCATTATGCAATCGTCGTGTATGTGTGTGTTCGTGATTTTATGTATTTATTTTAAGAGAGGCATGATATAAAGAATCGACTTCGGGTCGAATATTTCTTTTCGAATTCGATATTTGCGGGACGAAGATAATCCCTGTCCTAATTTCTACTCGGTTACTATGAAATCGATATTTTCGCGTCCAATTTTACGCCTCCACAACTATTCACGTTTGTCCCAGACCTTATATCTACGTCAGAACAAATCGATTCAATTTCCATTCTATTGAGATCAGCAGGTGGTAGAGAGCTTTCATATGGAAAGAAACTAATCGTAAGTCTTCGATGAAACCATTTTGCGCGATCTACCACAAAGGTCAGAAGCGCGATTGATAGCTCTCGCCATCGTTGATTGGCAAGAGACTGATCGCTTTTCGCAACCCTAGCAACGAGCCAATTATTTGGAGCTTATCGAAGTCGTGGACGACACGACATTAATCGATAAAAAAACACTCTTCCAAAAAACGTAACAAAATGCCGAAAGGAGATTGTGTATCAATGTGAAATATAATTTGCTATTTTTGTGAATCAATCATTATGAAAGCAATCAACACAACGGTATGTTATATGCCGTAATGTATATAATAATAAAAATATAATATTATTAAAAATAAATATAAAACACATAAAAATATTGAAAAAAGGTCTATTCGTTAAGTTTAGTCTGCTTTAGAAAGCTTTCAAACAATTGTCACGATAGTCGTAGAAAAAATTCAAGTGCGTTATTTCTATTTTTAGAAACGAAATTTTAAACATTTTGTATAATATCTAGAAAACGGTGAATTTTTCAGAGCACATATTGTTATATATTACATATATTATCTATATTACATATTATTACTATTCGTGTTTCCAAGCGTTCAGTAGTTTTGATTTCGTCGTGTACCAAAGCGCGAGAAACTGTGGCTTTTCGCACGTTATCTAGAGTAGGCCAACTCCTACGCATTAACGATCCACGGCTTTCGACACGAATCTATCTCTAACTGACATCCTGTATCCGCACAACTACTGACACGTATCCGAATCATGAAAGAACCGACTAATAGACCACAGTGCTCATGGAGTTTACTTATCGCGTTTAATGTAATCATCATAAAGCTCTAAAATTCCCTTCATTCAATCATTATATAAAATATCAGTTAAACTTGTGATTAATTGCGGACAACAAAATAGCAAAACGCAATCCTACGCAGGTAGCAATACCTTTGATTACTGAAGCATTTAAAATTTAAATTATTATTCTGCCATATTATTCATCATATTATCAGAGAGACGTTTAGGAATATAAACCATCCATTATGTTTTCGACATATTAAATTAAGCGATTTTGTATTTAGTGCGTTTTGAATTTTACACGTACGTTTCGAAAATATAAATCTGAATTACATGTGGATTGTCATATAAATATGCACACACCCGCACAAAGTTTTCGTATTATTTTGAAAAACATTGCTATGTCTTGCTCTATCTCGTCTGATATATTTCTAGCTTTTCCTCTGAAAGTTGTGTACGCGTCTCTTTGCGCAGAACTGCAAGTTGGAGTCGAGTCAGCAAATATGCAAACCAAAACAATTTCTTTTTTAAAACAGAGAATTTCATAAATAATTCACAGAAAGCATTCTTATTTTCGATCCATTCCGCCTGACAAACTCAGATTGCGAATTTTACGGTAGAAACGATCTGGCCACGTATCTGGCCGCGTGTATCTATGAAAATAGAATTTACGACGATGGCAGTTAGCCAACAAATCATTCCAGCCTAAGCGCGTGGTCCACCGGTATCGATCTCCCTTGCTCGACTAAGTCCATGGACATGTAAACACACAAATTAAATTAGACGTGCCGTTAAATTGCTTGAAAGCTTGCGAACGAAGTCAAAAGGATCGCAAGACGAGTTACTTTGCAATCGCCGTTGGTTAGAGCGTTGTTAATAACAGTTTGCAATTCATGGGCATTCGGATATGAGTCGAATACGGTACTCGATTATCCCAATTTAATCCTTATAAAACACATAAAATTCTTCCAGAAAATTCTGAAAACATACAGTATGGGTCTGGAAAACTCACTGTAACTTTGATAAGCTATAACTTTGGTTCAAATTAATATTTTTAGATTCTCTTTTTTCATTTTGAAACAGAGATTTCGGGATATAGATGTTGTAATAACAACAAGTTTTATACTAGCATATTGTTATAAGTTATAAAATAAAACTGTCCGTTTTCTTTTTTTCGTATACGGAGCAAACAAAATTTTAATTGGGGAGATCTATGGTATATGTTCCAGAGGGTTAAACGATGTCACTGACGGTCACACCGTTTTGCCAAGCAACCATCGTAACATGTACATGTTATCGTTTACTAAAAGTATCGAAAAGTTTATTTACAAACTACTCCAGAGACAACGGATATGTTTTTCAATAAAGTGACAAAGTAGAAAAAACGGCAATCATTTACGTGGATTGATAAAAATTATTCGATCCTCAGGAAAGTTGGGAGACTTTAACGAATTGAGCTCCAAGAGCGTCAATAAATAATGCATTATCTATAACTGGATATCCATGCAGCCAGAGACTGCGATTAATCTTGATTTAAATTTAATTCAATTGCTATATTTAAATTGCCGTAATATTTACCATATATTATACATGATTAAGAAAACTAGCTTACACAAATTCTCGAGTCTTTGTCAAAGTAATCGTCAAGGAAGATCAGTCGAATTGGAGTGCTAGTAACGACGACATTCAATGTGTATCTCTATTCAGAGCACTATAACAATACACTACGAAAGCTGGTGTAGTTCGAACGTACATGGCTAACCGCGCTGCAACGAGATCTCTTGAATGACAATTACTAACGGAAGCCCTTCGGCACTCTGCTATAATAAAGAGTTATTCACTAACTCCCATTCCGCAATTCACACTGCCAATGTTTCAAGGAATGATGTTTCTCGTTATCGCACGAATATTCATCGAGGAAACAGCGACATCGTTAATAGGTATACATCTCGCTAACATAAGTACCTGCTTATCACAAACATAGATGAGGTGTGGCACATGATTGTTGCTTCAGAAGCAATGTTAACAGCTACGCCAATTTTAATTTTAACTTTTTTCGTCAGAAATTGTGCAAATTACACAACTAGAGATTGCTTGAATTAGATAAATTATTTACTTTTCCTTACACGTGCACGTCGTAATGTGCTCTACACCTTAACGCTTTTGCGTATGGTAAATAAACAATACCTCAAGCCGTTAAGTTATTTCTCTGATCCCACTCTTCTGCGCAAAAACGTTGCTGTATAGGGTACGACGAGCACTTGTAATGAAAAATTCTATGCGTAACTCATATGCTCAGTTGTTTATTGTGCGGCACGGGCGCGGGGGAGAGCACAAATAAACAACTTACCATACATGTTACACAATGTACTATTACATAAATAACACATACTTGCGATAATTAAAATACTCCTTATAAAATATAAACAAACAATATCTTTGTATTTCTTCTTTGTATAATAGACCAAAAACAATCATTGCAGTAATGATTATCGTATTAATGTGTGCTTACGATAATAAAAAAAAATGTGTCCTAAAATATACAACGCATTCTTTGCATACAAAATATTTCCATCTGAATATTTTAAGATAGTGATAAGTATATAAAATATAAAAAAGTATTTGGCTTTTTAAAATACATAGCATGAGAGCAAGTTCCAAGTGTAGATGGCATGTAATTGTTGTTTTAGATGTAACGTTGTTGATGGCTACACCGAAATTTCAATTTTTGCATTCCTACGTTAGAAATTGTGCAAAATGCATGAGCAGATTGTTTGTTGTATGTGTGAGTTAGAAAAATAGTTCATTTTACGTAACACACATTCACGATAATGAAAAATTAAAATATTCCATTCAAAATAAAATACTAGAGAGAAACAATATCTTTGTGCTTCTTTTCACATGCTAGATTAAAAACAATTTTATTTATCATTGTAATAACGATTATCGTATTTAATGCTTACGCAATAATAAAAAATTTTGTCAAAATATACAATACAATAGCGCTTTTTTCTCTTCTGTATCAAATATTTTTGTGTAAATATTTTAAAATATTGATATTCTTCTGTAGAAAATAAAGAAAATATCCTATTTTTTATAAAACAGAAGGAAGAAATCAAGCCTACTCTGATAAATTCATAATAATTATTAGTAATAATATAATGACACATATAAAAATTTAGATTTGCAATTCAATTTATTTAAAAAAAAAAGGCTATTTTTACTTACGTATTTTGTCATATTACAACTGCGATGCGTGACGTATTTATAGGAAAATTTTGTTGCAAACACAGTTTATCAGGATTTTTAGCCCTCAAAAGGATTTTCTAGTATCGGCTATAATTAATAAAATATTCATAGGATAACTCCGGTTA